CAGAAGCATGATTATATTTCACTACACACTTAGAACTCACGGCATTTGCACTCGTCGACATGCTGCTTACTGGTGTGCAGGTGAGGGAACGTCAGCAAGGCTTAAGCAAATAGATAAGATTTAGATTAGATGATAAGATTTATTGTTTTTTATTTCATTTACTAATGTTTATCAACCTTTCTCTCGGACTGTGTGCAAATATATATATGTAAATGTATATATATATATATATATATATATATATATATATATATATATATACATATACACACACACACACATATATATATACACTCACACATGCACATAGACAAGCACATACACACACACACACACACACACACACACACACACACACACACACACACATATATATATATATATATATATATATATGCATGTATGCATATGAATATGTATATGTATATATATACATAAACAAACACACACACACATATGTGTATATATATGTATATATTTGGTAGTGTTCAATAGTCGCAAAATGACTCTGTAAATGGTTCCTTTTCTTTTTGTTTCATTTTCTTTTCTTTTCTATTTAATCGGAGGGATCAGTACCTATCAGTCACCACAATTCACAAGGATAAATTAAAAATATATATTAACAATATAACATATATCAGTGAGACAAATACAAAACAATAGCATTCCTTCTTGGTGCATCATAGTACATGTATGAAAATAAGACGTCCCCGAAGTTTTCTAAAGTAGTTGCCTCGGAGATAGATTGCAGTAAGGAAGAGCCAATGGAGGAAGCAGCATCGCCAAATAATTTCCTCTCTTTAATCAGCCGATTTCCGAAATCAAGAAAGGTTGTAATGCAAAATCTAATATAAGAATCGATCAAAGTTTCTACAAACTCTACTTACTGATGTGGCAGAACCTCCTTTGGAGTTCACTGATAGGCACATCAAAAAATAGTGTAAGCTCAATTTTGAAGGACTCCCTTGCCATATTCAAGCAGTTGAAAAACTAATCAAATTGGTTACAGAAACATTACCATCTGTTTGTGGAGAAGAGACAGGAAATGGATTCATTTGAGTAAAGTTCGCATCCAGAGAGAAAATCCCCAAATTTGAGACCAAATCACGGTATGTTCAATGGAATATAGCTATTAGCTTGCAGTAAATAAAAATTAATGCTCAAAATGGTTGGATTGGGCATGGGTGGAACTTTAATTCGCGTCTATATAAGCCATGTAATCATCTCAGTCATTTTTAAATGACTGAGATGATTACATTTATTAGTTATAAGTGGGGGAGAGCGAGAAAGGACTTTTTCTCTCTTTCTGTTACGGCAACAGTCGTTTAGCAGAACATTTGAGTCTTATAATTGTTATTTATATGTTCAAGTTCCCTCTATTCTGTTCTATCTCTTCCTTGAGGCAAAAACGTAATTCAAACTAAACAGAACTTGAAGGAGGAATAAAAAGAAAGCTGAAGGGCGCAAGTAATTTACGCGGCGAAATTGGCTGTCGATATCGACCCATTCTTTAAAAGTCCAGGATCATTTTTAAGCACACAAAAGAGAGTGAACGATGAGTTCAATTAAAATGAAAATCTACTCAAAGCATATTAATTGCCGGTATAGCGTTAGCTATAACTTTATCATTTTACCATTGTCTTTTAGTAATCAAAATAGCGATGGATACATAAGGGACACATAAATCGATAACTAGCAAATGAACACACACACAAGCAAACAAACAAACATGTACACACGTATATACACACCTATACATAAGTATAGGTGTGCATAATTGTAATGAAAAAGACGGGTAGGACACAACATTCCAAAAAGCCGACAGCGGTCCTGATTACGAAAGCCGGCACTCACGCCCACCCGCCAGCATGCAAGGAAGCGCAGTCATCGTTGGAGACTCAGAACAGTATCAAGCGTCGGACGGCTCCAATGGATTCAGGAAAAACTTCTTGAAGCCGAAGCTCTGTGCCTCCGGCGTTGTAGCGTGTCGTCTTGCTGTCATGAGTTGGTCCAGCTTCTGAACCATGCTGACCATGTCCGTGTTGTGGGCGTGGGCGGCTAGAGTTTGACACAGGGACCGCACGAACAAAGTTCCTTCGTTCGTCCTAAAAGCCTTGAAGCCTTCCGTCGACGCGTAGACGGTTAGCATGTCACGCGGGGCTTCGTCCTTTGTGGGAGATACCTTGTCGCGGCCGACCGCGTTCTGTGACGTCCAAGGTATATCGTCGCCTGTGAGAGAGGAAAATTTAACGTTGAAAAAAGGACTTATGCCAAAGCTTCATTTATACCTACATACATAGCAAGTAAAAACAAAAACGCTGCCACAATATGAACGGAATTAGAACGAAACGTAAGTCGCCAAGAGTTCCTCATTACACGCAGTAAAAACCAAAATGGTCTGTTACGATTTTATTCTGTCCATATTATACCAGCTATTCTGTCTGTGCTTACATACCCGAATATACATACAGGTGCAAATTACGTTAGCAATAGTAATAAGAATGTTACCTATACTATGTCCAGAGAAGCTTTCGAGAGTTTTTCCGCGACAAAAGTTGAAAAGGAAAACCTTGGGTTTTCCCTTCATGAGAGGACAAGCCTGATCTTTGAACATATTCCGAACCTGCGGAGATAAAGGAAGAGAGAGTGTATTGTGTACACACATACATACATCCTGAAATATATATGAGTATATATATATGTAAATATATGTATATATATGTATATATATATATATATATATATATATACACATGTGTGTGTATATATATCTATACATATACATATATACACATATATTACACACACACACACACACACACATATATATGTGTGTGTGTGTGTATACATTTTTATGTATATATGTATATATATACATATATATGTGTGTGTACGCATGTGCGAATATATATAGATATATGTGTGTGTGTCTGTACGTTATCTATATATATATATACATGTTTGAAATCCATAACTGTGAAGTCCTCACCGCAAAGACGTCCATCTTTCTCATATCAGATGTGTAGAATGTATCCCGGTCGATGCCATGACTCAACATGCACACGAACATGGAGTCAACTTCAGCTAGATTCTCGTTACTCCTGAAGTTATTCAGCACCTCTTTAGTCGCTTCCAGATCCAGGTCCTGGTGATCTTCCACTTGGTAGCCCATCTGTCAGAGTTCAATTTCACGTTAATATGAAAAAAAAATAATCCTAATAATGAAAAGAGTTCTCTGTTTCATTTATTTCTTACTGCGACTCACATTTCTAAATATAATGCTGAGATTTGCTACATCTCTCTCAGAGTCATAGCGAGTGGCTGTCCTCAAACTGAATTTCCGGTAGTTAATGATGAGGACTCGGCCTCGATACGGTTCGGAGAGGTTCCGGTACACGCCCGGACTGGGAGGCACGGGCTGGCCCACCACTACGCGGAAGTCCTCTTCGGGGAGCTGAGGGAAACAGATGTATGTGTCGGTACATATGGCATAGACACCTTCACACACACACACACACACGCGCACATACATTCACACACATGTTGCAATTGTCACAATTTCGAAGAACAGTTTGCAAAATGTTGTTCAGCTTCTCTCAAGATGGGGCACCTGAGCACTTTCGTCGTCACTCTCATCGCAAAT